GCAATGACTGCAGGGTGCTGCTTGCATTTAATGCCCAAAGGTCAAGGGTGCCAAACACTCCACATCATTTAGACTAAAGCTGCCTAAGGAAGATGCCATGTTGCCCAAAATGCTACTGATGCCCTTGTTGAGAAACACTGGTCAGGAGCCCCATGTGTTCCAGGGACACCTTCTACAGTTTGTCTTGACACTTCTGGATTATTTCAATTTCTCTCACGAGTTCTTAACCTTGGTCCAGAACAGATGACTAAATTGATGAGTCAGCAAAGTAAATAGGATCCTCAGAGGCAAAAAGTACTTCGTTTGGCTTCCCTTAGATTCTTTTTTATTTAGGTCTTATTTTTATCTTACTTTGTCCCAACTTTACTGAGGTATGATTGACAAAAACTGTATACGTTTACGGAGTACAATGTGATGTTTTGAAATACTGTACATCGTGAAATGATTACTCAAAGATTCTTAACATATTCAAAGAGTATCACTCCATCTGAGAGGAGAAAATGAGTAGTCCCAGGTCTCTCTCTAGGTCCTCTTGGCAGTGGTCCAATATTTCTAATTACTGCATCTGTCCAGTTTAGCGAGGACACAGCTTGGTGACCCTCGGGTTGGCCCCAGCACTACTGCCCACTACCGTAAGCAGCTCGGATTCACCAGTTTTCAGCCACACAGATGCTGTATTCGCATGTCACCCACACATTCAGTGAGACAAGGAGCACCTGAAAAGCATCCTACAGAGGATGACAATTCTGACTCCTTTTCCCACAGCTTTTCTCAGGGTAACTTTCCCTGAGAATCCTATTCCCTTTTGATATTTGGCAATGGGCAATTAGCAGCTGAAATTCTCTTTTGATTCATTACATGCCAATAAGCTTCTAACTGGCTGTTAGAGTATAACAGCTTTTTGGGGTATAAATGCAAAACCCGTACCTAGTGGCACAGGCACAGATGTGGAGGTGGTCCCAGTGTTGGCACAGTAAGAATTTTAAGGCACAGAACCTGCATAATAGATTGGGAAGCTTAGCTTCCTGAGCAGCAGAATTATTGGTTTTTATAGTAGATTCTGGGGCCTGACAAGGCAGAGAATAAAAAGGAAGTGATCCCACGGTGCTATGCTGCTCTGTCCTAAGAGACACCTTGCTCCACACAGGCTGCCAAGGCCTTCAAACTACACCTCGGTGGGGTGCCCACCGGCTTGCACCCACCCTCCTGCACCCACCCACCTGCATCCTTATCTTGTTTATCGTTTTTGTGCACTGATTATTTGCTCCTGGAGTAAACTGAAGTCCAAATTGCCTTTTTGACCTTTTTTTGGTCAAGTGAAACACAGATGTTCATTGTTCATCCAAAAGTTAGTTGCACACGACATACTCCCACCTCTCCCTGTGGCTTTTCTTTGCATCTCTATTTATAAGCAGTTTTCATATCTTTTCACTGCATTTCTTTATTCAGCTCTAGTGCATCCTAAAATGCCTGGTATTTCAACCTCAGAGGCAAAATCTGAACTTTTAAAGTCATATGTTTATGTACTTTATTTTTTACTGAATCAAAGAGAGCTACCATGAGGGTATTTAAAAATAATTATTGTTCCTGTATTACTCATAAAAATATTGAGAAAATGTTAAGTGTTAGGTGTTCCTTATTGAAATCGGTATAAATACTCATAAAGGGTTTTTACAATTAATGCTGTAAATATTAAGCAATGGCTTTTAACAGCAATCCAGACAGTTTACATAAGTAATAAAATGCTTTAGGTTTGCACATTTTGAGCAAATTAACAAAAGTGAATTATACGTTCTTTGTTAGGGAGCTCGCTCAATACTCTTTAACTCAGTGTTTAAAATCGGAAGTTGCTTTTTCCTCGAAGTCATGGTGGTCCAGTTGTGTTCCAGAGGGCTACAGGCTACAGTGTGCTGTGGAGGGGGAGAGAGCCTGCCACAGGGGGCAGGAAGGAGGCAAAGCAGACAGGGCCCTTCTCGGCCTAAACCAAGCCCCACTTTACCTGTCTTATGTACTGGAATTCTATGTAAGAGTTTGTTTGACAGCAAGGGCTCTGCCATTTAAAAAGACCAAGTTTGAGTTCGATTGTCAATGTATTTATTTTTATCATTATTCACGATCTATCATTTTTGAATAGCTGAAAAATAGCCCTCAAGATGGTGGCCCAGGGAACGCTTCTACCTGCCAAGTCTAAAGGGAGAGAGGAGCTCTTGGAGTCTGACATTCTTGACCAAGTTGGGGAAACTGAGAAAAAGGCACAGAGAAACAGGTTGCTTTGCTAAACCCAAGCTTCTTTTGCTTAAGAGTTAAGGATGTCTTACGTTGTCAAGTCATGTTCAAGTAGAATAATAATAAGCAATAAATATTTCACATAATTGAACCTCAAGTATGTCTCAAGTACAGTGCCATAAAAATCCATGTCACTTTCCAATCAAAGGGCTCTCTTGCGTCTTGCGGGTAATCATTATTCCACACCTATATGCTTCTCTCCTGTAATCACTCCCAGGGTTTCAACTTCTGCACTGGCCATTCGAACATCTTCCTTTTGCGAACTGCTTCTTCAAGTTCTTTGCCCATTTTGGGTGCTCATCTTTTTCTTAGTGATTTAAAAGAATCCTTTATCATTAAGAACTTTAACTATCTGATTGCTTTACATGTTGCAAGTTATTTATCTGCTTTTAATTTTACTTTTTAGTTATTTCATGTATAGTTTTAATATTTATATAATTAGACCTATCAACTATACATATGATGTTCGACTTGGAAAACCTTTTCTATACCAAGATTAAATAAATACTTTTTTCTCATTTGATTTTGATACTTAAAGCTTTTAATCCATTTGAACATTCCATTGGTACCTTGCATAAATTAGATATGCTCCCTATAACCCCACTTTTAACTAGGATTCTCAAAACCAGTGATGGAATAAGCCTGCCTTTCCAGTATGTACTGAGAACATGTATGATTCCAAGAACACTTGGGTCTGAGCTTTCTATTCTGTAATATTAACATGTCTGTGCTTGGGAGAATCCAAGCTGTTTTATTTATTGTAATGCTATAAAATGTTAAACTGCTTGAGAGGGCAACTCTCCTTTTAGTATCCATCCTTCTTAAAATCTTCTTACTTATTATTACCCATTTAGTCTCTTAGATGATATCTAGAAACACGCTTGAGAAATTTAAAAAAGCAAACCTTCCATTAATATGACTAGAATTATATTAAGCCTATTTATTAACTATGGAAAATTAATCTTCTCATCTAGAATTATGGTGTTTTTCAGTTTCTAAATGAGGTGGTTTTAAAAAATACGGATGCAAATGCTTTGGCACTCCTCTCCAAGAGATTTTCCGAATTGCAGAGGGTTTGTTGTGGGTTGGCAGGTTAGTTACCAGCAGGATGCAGTGGACTCTGCGTGGCCTGAGTTGAGGTCAGGAGAGGTGGAGTGTCCAGCTGGATCTCAGGAACACTCACTTTTTGAAGTCTGACTATCCTGAGCCCACCACACCATAAGGAATCCTAGACAAGCTGGAGAGCCCTCAGGTAGGTGTTCTGGTTGACAGTCCCAAACGAGGTCCCAGCAAAGGGCCAGCATCAACCATCAAACTTGTGAGTAAAGATGCTTTCAGAATATTCCAGTCCCAGCCACTGACTCACTCACAGCTATTTAGTCTTCCCAGATGAGGCTCAAGACATCGTATTCCCTCTATGCTCTAACCCACAGAATCCATGAGCACAATAAAATGGCTGTTTAAAGCTGCTACATTTGAAATAATTTGCAAAACAGAAATTGTTACTATAACATTAAGAGTTTTTTTTTTTGGCCTTCAAGTTTTATAGTTTTCTTCCATGGGTTCTATACTTTATTTAAGTTAACTCTTAGTTATTGAATGTGTTTTTTGGTATTGTGGTGATGAAATTATTCTGAATAAAAAGCTGCCTTCTAACATAAATTTCAATTTTCTACCTCCTAGTTTCTTACTCTGTACGTAAGAAAAATAATTTTGAGATAGTCAACTTTTTATATCACTATAGCAAATTTCTTAAAGTTATTTATTTGATGCTCTTGGGTTTTATACATACACAATCACACAATCTAAAACGAATGCACTTGCAGTGGCTGGCCCCATGGCCTAGTGGTTAAGTTTGGTGCACTCAGCTTTGGTGGCCTGGGTTCGGTTCCTGGGCATGGACCTATAGTCGTCAGTGGCCATGCTGTGGCAGCGAACCACATACAAAAAAGAGGAAGAGTGGCACAGGTGTTAGCTCAGGGCGAATCTTCCTGAAGCAAAAAGAGGAAGATTGACAATGGATGTTAGCTAAGAGTGAATCTTCCTCAGCAAAAATAAAACAAAAATGAATGCATTTGAGTCTTCTCCTTTAAAATATTTCAAAGCTCATGCCTCTTTCTGGTCATTGCATTGACTAGCACTCCCAGGACAACCTCCACACACAACAGTGAGGGCAGGTGTTCCTAATTTGTTACTGAGTTTAACGAGAAGACTTTCTGAGTTTAATATTAATCTAATGCATCATATAAACAAACAAGAGAATATAACCATGATGCAACCTCTAAGTCTTAACATTAATTTTGAAGGTCATTCAACACGTATTTTAGTAGATTCCTAAGAGCTTTTTTCTTGCTCTATTTTAGGTGGGAGAAATAATTTTGGATTACTTTCTTGATTTACATGCTCAGAGATAGGTAGAAAATGATGAAACTGCTTTTAAAAACCTGCTTTTGCAATAATGGAGTTCTGCTGAATGGAACACTAAAAACAGAACCTGTGTGGCGATCCCGTGCGCTACCCTGGCGGGCTAACCCATCTCTTCACACAGCTTTTTGGAGTCCAAAAATGCTACCTAAATTAAGTTTTTCAACCTGTGTGAGTGGATTATTGTGTGGCTTCCTGAAATAATCCCCTCGTCTTTTAACACAGTTCTGACCCAGTTTGGGGAAGTATCTTTAATATCTTGTTCTACTTCACTGACCTCCAGGCAGAAGAGCCAAAAATATCTGCATTCAACTGGCAACTTTCATCTTTAGGCTTACAAAGAGGTCAGCTTTCTTTAAAAAGGAAACTGAAACTTACATCACAAGGCAGCTTTTTAGGTGATTTTACGTTCTACTTTACAAGCCTGACAAATGGAAGGCAGAGACCTGGAAGAGTCAGTCGAAGTGCCTCAGAATAGTGCATACCTATTGATGGGAGCAAATCAAAAGCTGTTGACTGGGCCTGCTTTTACTACACCATCAATTATTTGTCAAGTCATAGGCGCTCACCTCAGAAAGAAAAACAGAAACACATGCTGGAAGATGAGGTAAGGCTGGGTTGCTAGAAGAAAAGACAGAGCAATAGTCTATCCAGAAGAGGGATGGGATAGTGAGGTGCTTACAGAAAGCAATAATGCCGAAACTGCACAACACTCTGATCACCTAAGTGATGGTTAGGAGGATGGATGTTTTCTAGTTGGCAGATAGGGAATTGATTGTTATGGCCCGCAGTAGATTTTCTTATTATTTTCAATTATTCAAATGTCCTTCTTGCTTCAAGAGTATGTATCCTTGCCTTTGCCTGGTAACCTGCAGTGCCTCCCTGTAGCAGGAGTATGTATCTCCATTCCATTGTCATGTGATCAATTCTGAGCTGAAACTTTAAGAACCATTGTGTGTTTCTTCCAGCCCTTTCCTCCTTTCCCTTTGCTGTGAGAATGGCATGTCTCAGGGAGGGGCTCCTCCTTCGCGGGGACGTTGGGTTTCAACCATGGTCTTTAGACCATGGGGCAGAGCAGAGCTGCCACTAGACATGAAGTAGACATGAAATGTGTTGAGGAAATAAACCTTTGTTATCATAAACCACTGAGTTTGAGAGGGAGGGCTCATTTGTTGCTGTGGCATAACTAAGTGAAATCTAATTAATACAACTCAAACTAACATGTATTAGGCCAGATGTAGGATGAGTCCCATTTTAAAGGAAGCTAAGGTACTCCCATTTGTTTGAAAGTTTGGCTGTAATAAGTTTTCTCTGCGTTAGACACTGGAGACTAAAGCCTCAAACCCTGAAGATAATCATGCACTTAGATTTCCATAGGTAAAGTCAAAGCAATGATCTACGATTCTAAGCTGTTATTCAGTGAGTATCTGCCATCATAAAAGTCATAGAGAGATAGTATCAATCTACAGAAGCCACAGACAGCAGAACACATGTGAGTGTAGCTGTGTTCCAGTAAAACTTTATTTGCAAAAATAGGTAACGGACTGGATTTGGCCTCAGGCTGATCCCTGCCATAGCATAAGAAAATTAAAAAAAAAAAAAAACACAAACAAAAAAAATCTTAAAACAAGCCTAATGTTTTACAACCACAGTTGTATTGTTTTAACATCAAAAGCTGCTCCATGGCCACTGAAAGACATAGATAATTCCTCGGTTTTCCCATATGTAAAAAACAGACAATAAAAACAACTTCATAGGTTTTTGTAGGAATTAATTCAGATGAAATATAAAGTGCCAGTAAGTAAGCACTCAATGAGTTTCTATTCCTTTCATCTTTCTCTGTCCTGCTATACAAAACTCAGAGTGGATTCTCAGTGAAGGCCTGTTTAATGCGTGCCAAGTTAATGAATGAGGTCAAACAGTAATGAGGTGAAGCAAGAATCCTTTAAGTCAACATTTGCTGAGCAATTGGTTTGATAAGACAAACTCATGATAACTAAGAATAAATATTAATATATGTCATGATTTACATGTCCATTAATTAGATTCCTAATTATATTGACCTAACAGAGAAATGCTTTCTTTTCAATTCAGGAGCATATTTTGAATAATAAATAATAATTCTGTGCTCTACACCAAAGTCATGAAATTCCCAACATCTTGCATTAGGGCTCTGTCCTGCATGGATAAGGGGTAGGAAAGAAAATCTCAATACTATCTGCTCAATTAAATAGAAGTCAGTTTTGTGATTTATTACACTCAGACTAGGAAGTCAAGTTTTCTTTCAAAAAGCAATGAATCTCAATATGTTGCTCTATGTTCTGTTAAATGTCTTCTACCATAAATAATTAGGATCAAATATGCTCAGGAGCCCATGGCCAATATCCACCATCTTTGGTGCATGGGCCAAAGTGACAATTGTTGAGATTGTCACTTTTTACTGCCTGTAAGTTTAAATACCACCAGATAAAAGCATATTTACTTTTCCAATACATTTTCTGCTTGATTTAACATTTTAAATTTATCTTTCAGCCCTACCCTGAAGTTCACCTTGCCCTAAAATACAAAAATCCTCCTCCCATTCTTTCCATTTCTTCTACTGTCAAAATAATGGCCAATGGGATTCACAACCACACAGTGTCTTTTCTGTCCATGAGATAGATAATCTGACATGCATCAAATCTATCACAGTTCCCTCATAAGACATCAAGGCAGGGGTGAACACCTTCCTCCTGAACTGGTATAAAAAGAAATGTAGAACTCATCTTCTCTAAAAATTAGGTATTTGCTTAGGGAGGCTTCCACTTATTCACAGAGTAAGGGAGATTTTCAAGGTAAGTGAAATTGCTCTGAGGTCGTATAGTATGGTTGTGTGCTTGAATAAACATGTGCTGGAGGGAATATAGAACAGAGAAACAACTTAATACTCACTTAATCCTAATGTTAACATAATTCAAATTGAGCCGGGGGTGGAGATAGTAGCATTTGCACCAGGCACTGAATCACTCTGTTTAGTGTTTCCAGATTGTGGAGAAATTGCCTTGGAATCATCTGGAGATGTTTGTTAAAAATACAGATTTTAGGGCACCACTCACTGCAGACCTATGGAATCTCCAATCTCTAAGAAGTTGGGCCTGGGAATATGATTTTTACCAAAATTTTCCTGTGTTTCTCATGTGAAGCCAAGTATGGGAACCTCCTTATTAAAGGAACATGAAGAACATGAGAGATGCAAATAGTCATCGCCTTAAGTATTTTCAGGTAGGCATGGAAAATGGTACCAGGGCATAGCTCATTGGGCCATAAGGTGACAGGTGGGTTAGCTTTGCTTGTGAGAAGCTTCTTTCTCTTTCTACTTTGTACTTTTCCGTCAGCTGAGAATAGTATCTAATCTTGGCTCATCAGACATCTCACACTCAGGAATATCAACAAATTAAAATGAGGTCTAATTTGGGGATGCAAAAAAAAAACTTGTCATTAAAATAACTGTCAATAAAAATTGCAATTCAAATATTTGAAAAAAATGAACCAGCACTATCAGATGTACAAAATCATACTCTATTGTATTTCCGTGTTCCTGAGGGCCAGCAATGCAGGGAAGTGAAAATGAAATAGTGTGAGTTTGAGCACTACGGGGCAGACAAGGACTGAAAAATTCCTCAGTGAAAGGATACAATTGAGGCCAGGAATTTTCCATTCTTTATCCTCACAGGCCCTTTTTGGTACCTTGTAAAATTATTGCAGCTCTATAGGGATGTCTCTACAACATGGTGGTAACTTTCAGGTTCCTGCATTTTTCTCTGTACCCCTCAGATGATTTTCATCATCGCAGACCTGAACTAAGCCTTGAACACGAAGCATACCATCAGACCCGTCAATTAGATTCCAGCTCTGCTCTGCTTAGTTGACAGCCAAATGATCACAAGTGGAACCAGGCCACTGTTCCCTCCCAGGGATTTTAACACACAATCCGTTGCATTGTCTAGAAGTTCTTTTTTCCCATGGAGCTGCCTACAGATCTCAAACATGTCATGAAAAAATTCAGTCTCCTTGGTTACTGCCAAGGATGAACCAACTGCATATATAGCTGTCAAAATGATGGTGTGTTTAGCTATCTGAATAATTGAGCAGAAGGGGAGGAGAGAGCAAGAGAACTGTGGAATTAAGTAGAGTCTGAATCTAAACACGCATTAATTCTGGTGAAGGATAAATTCACATCTGTTCATACATCTCTTTGGACAGTTTTTGCAGAATCTTCAAATCCAGTTGCCCTTGGAAAGATAGTCTCCAATATATTTTGTGTGCCAAATGAATTTTCAGTATTTACAAAAACATTAATTTATCACTTTCTTTGAAATGAAGACTCTAGACACGGCCATATCTAAGGCAACATGGAAGATTTACATAAGAGCGCACAGGGTTTATATATTTCCACTGGTCTATCATATTGTGTAAATACATTCTATTCATTACTCATGTGTCCACCCCACTCACCCAACTTGGATTTCAGTTCCTGTCACGATTGTGGCCTGTGGTTTGAACTGACTGTCTCTACCAGGGAGTTAAAACAAATTTGCTCCTGATTCACAGCACCAGCTAGATCACGGGGGCCACTAATGATGGGTCTAGCAAGGCTTCCTGCCAATCACAAGGAAAATGCCTCCTGTCAGAACCACCCACAAAATATTAACAAGCATGGCTCGCAAAAACAGTTCAACAATATTCAGATCTAATCACTCACTGGATAGCTGTGAAAGGTCCAGTCATTCTTGAAGTCAGAAGAAGGGAGGCAGATGAGTCACAGGGACGGCTTTGTGTTTTCCCCGTTCCTCCTGGACCAAAGCAATGGTCTAAGGACTATGGATTGATTTGGAACACCATCTAGTGAAGGATTTGAGGAAGTGCATGAACGTAGAAAGAAAAATCTCAAGCCAAATTCTGATTCAATTGGTTTAATGCCTCCTTTCAGACTATTTTAAATGGTTCTGAAATGAATGATGGTGTGAGTTTTTTTTTAAGTTAGGGTAAAAGCAAAACAGAATGACCAGTGTGTACTTGAGCACAGACCAGATTCAGCTCATTATCCCACCTGCCTCTTGGGATAGAATAGTCAGTTTCTTCTCTCAGCACTTCTCATTGACTATGGTAAGGATGTAAAAATACCCCATGGAGTCAGCCCAATCAATAGTCTACTTCTGCCAGAAAGTCAGCATCTGAAAATGGCACTAAAGGGTTTGGCAAGAAAGATGCCAGGGCGCCGGATTTTCAGACATGCATCTGTCAGTCATGGCGTTTTTTGGTTAAACAGTATATGTGTCAGAGGCCTTAGCTATCAAAAAATTAAAAATTTTATTCTAGACTCAATAGCTTTTATTGCCAGAAAATCAGTACCAATAGTACCTATTTCACAGTGTGCTGCAGACAAAAAGCACTGAATAAATATGACATTATTCTATAACTAGAGCTGTCAGCTAGGATTTTTAACTGGGAAAGAAAGTTGAATATAATTCAATTATTACATTTTGAATTCTTCTATATAAAATGGTGCCTCTGTTTATTTATTTATTTATTTATTTATTTATTTATTTTGAACTTCTCAATTCCACA